ACTACAGTCAACTCTTCACTAGCGAGTTTAACATTTGCGAAAAATGACGGTCTAAAGTTCCACGACAGTTTAAATTCCGTGATTTCAAAAATGGCCGATGACAGGCCACGTGGTTCCAGCTCGTCCGCCAAGTTGAAAATTCTGCGAAAATAATTAACTTGAATTTTCCGCCAAAAACGGTGTATATCTTGTGTTCACACTGCCTTTACTTATTTGCTGGAGTGTCATTGAAAAAACATTTTACATAATTTTTTTTCTCCTTCAACAATACATGTTTACTGAAAATGAGGATGAAACCGATCGAAATTTCCATAACCTCAAATGTCCAATAAAGATACACTTTATGAATGTATTCAAGAGTATTGCATTTGCGGTATGAAATCGACGTTGTGAAATGTTGGATGTAAGTAAAATTCAGTTTAAATTGATGGATGTAGCCGTTACTATGTGGTAGAAGGTCATCATGAAAAATGATAGATAAAACTCCTCATGTTATTTTACCACAAGTGGGAAAAACATATGAAGTTTTATTTCTCATTTTTAAAAATTTGGTTTTGAATTTCAACGTGCAATGTATGCTTGATCAAGTATAAGACAATCAATTTGCTTTTGAATATTTCCGTTGGAGGGAATCTTTTCAAATGAATTACTAAAAGAAGGGGAACTTACAGATTGATAGAGACTTTGTACATTTTCTTATTTTCTTGCCCTTCGAACACGTTGGTTTTTCATCTCCATCCAGAGTTTCCTCTCTTATGAAGGAATCCAAGCAATGTGACAAACTCAATTGGCCAGTTCTTTGTGGTATGGGGAGAGATAAATCCCAGAAAGGATCGAAAGTTACTGATGAGTGTCCACAGTGTCTGCACTTCATAGAGGATTTTAATTGACCAACAAAATTGTCTACAATCTTAGAGTTGTTCATATTCAAATATCTCAGCCAGGATGCTTGTACTGTTAAGATCGGTTCAGGTTTTTCAGTAATTCTGTTGAGGATCTCATGTAAACCTTCTAAAAGATATTGAAGGAATTCGTGGGCGTCTTGATGGGCAGAATCCATGAATCGAGGGGCAAATCTATAAGTTTCCCGTATTTTAGTAATTCATTTGAAAATATTTTTTTCAAAGAGAAGATTTTGAGGCAAATTGATTGTTTCCATTGACTTTTCTTCAGAATGTTTAGATATGAGCTACCTATTATGCAGCAGACAGTGTAGTTCCTTGTCGTTATAATCTATATGCACTTTCAAATCAAAATGGGACTACTTACAACAGGCATTACACAGCATATTGCAAGCATATGACCGCTTTTATGAACAGGAGGGAAGGAAACAAACAGCACCTTTGAGTGATTTTTTTCTCTTCTAGCTTTTATAAACTGATATCTCTGAACTGATTTGTATTTCATGATTGTGTTTAAATATTAAAGTCTCTTACAATAAATTGTATGATAGTATAAGACACAAGAGGTTTTCCAAGTCATCCCTCACTCCTTGATACTTTTTTATCCACTATAATTATTATTTGGAATCAGACATATCTTTCACTATAATGCAATTACATATCTCATCCTCAGACATTTCTGTTAAGAAACTGTAATTATATCATAATTTTCCATGTCAAAAGTACTAGGAGAATATATAATAAGAATATTCAGATTAGGTATACTTTTTCACTACATTTTGTCATCAGAAACTTCCATACATTCCAAGATGGATGGGTTTTTATTTGGACTAATAAAATATCAATGATAAATTCAATAATTTTTTCACAATATTCAACTATTACTATGAAGCTTTTCCACATAGAAAAATTAAAGCTAATAAAAAGGAAAAAAAATGGTATTCACCCCAGATAAAAGAACTTCACAGTTATGCTGTGTGAAATGGCAACCATAGCAAAAGATTGTTCAGATGGAGTGATACAAACTTGATATAAAACTCTGAAAGTTTTATATTATATAAAAATAAACTGAAAGAGGCAAAATTCACCTTTGATAATAAAATAATATGGAATGCACCTAATGTAATGAAAGAAAAAGGAAAAGTGATAAATGAAGCAAAAGGAATATCTTCAAAATCGATTGTCCAACACATAACAGGAAATGCAAGAACAAATGCTTGGAAAATATCTGTAATCTTTTCAGTAACCATTTTATGAATATCCCTAGCCCTGAACCTAATCTTTCTGAAGTTAGATTATCTCCTAACCATAATTTCACATTCTTTCTTGGACCAACAACACCCAGACATATTATGAAAACAACACGTAAAAAAGCTCAAGGCATAGACGGAATTTCCGGGAAAACTATAGAATATGTCAAAGAAATAATAAGTACACCATTGTCACATATTATAAATGAATCTTTCAAGGCAGGAATATACCCAGAAATGTTGAAAACATCAGTCAATCCCGATTTACAAAAAAAAGTATGGAGGAAGGATATAAACTATTGAAATGTATGTCTTCAGACACATTTCGCAAACATTTTCGATACCTCATTTAATATTCAGTTGAATTCATATTTAGATAGCCAGAAGCTCCTATTAAGTTATCAAAATGGCTTTAGAAGTAATACATCCACAACTGGAGTTCATTGCAGACTTGCGTACGAATATCTACGCCGCATTTAATGGAAAAGAATGCCCGTAGTCCAATAAGTTTATATGATGTGTCTTTTATACATTTGTATTGACTTCGTGATGAATAAATTTGATTTTATTTGATTCATAAACACAAACGATAATAATAACTGAGTGAACTTTTTTTAATTTCAGTGTTTGAGGAAAGGAAAATGATTCTTAACACACATTGACCAACTATGAGATATTATTTTGATGTAATTCTTGTTTTTTTTTTCTGTAATGCTAAATGTAAAGAATAAATCAAAGAAAAGTAGATTATTGTTCCAATTTTCTCCCAGACTCAAAATTTTTTATGAATTCCTCTTTCGAAAAACTATATAGTATTATAGGGAAATCGTAAATGAAACAACTTATATCTTTTTTGAAAATACTAAAGTGTTATTTTTTCTTTAATAACGGTGTTCGAATGACCTAATGATGAAATCATTGAAATTAAACTAAAAAAGTAACAAAATATATGTTAATTATTACTTTGATTTCCAAACTAAATTATCTACAGATTCAGTAAATATCGATAAAAAAAGTGAAGATTTGACGAATAGAAAATTCGCTGATGCTGTTTGAATAGGAAACAAAGATCATTTTCATGATAAACAATTCTAAGGCAGACGACGGTTTCTATGAAAAAAACGGATGGGGCAATGGGTAGTCTATTGAATCCTGCGGTGGCAAAATTTTCATGGAAAAATTTGAACAAATCACTTCTGAGCGAACGGCCGTGAAGCCATTTTGTTGGCTGCGTTACGTTGAAGAAAACTGGTGGTGTGGCACCACAGTGAAGAGCAACTAAGCGAATTTCCAGCATATCTGAACTCTCTCAACTCAAAAATCACATTTACAATGGAAATGGAAACCCAAGAAACAATCACCTTCTTGGATGTACTAGTGAACAGACATGAAGATAGACAATGAGTAATAGAGTGTACAGAAAACCATCGCACTTGGACAGTTATCTGAATGAGAACTCCAAGCAGAAGCCACAACAAAAGAGGGGGGAGGGCGATTAAAATTTCAGTTGCGAGAGTCAGACTTACTGTTAATCTGAAAATATCCCCGAATAACTCAATTATTTAAAATATGTTTTTAAAGGGAATTTGGTAGCCAATCTTGAGCGGGAAATACGAACCAGAAAGGCTACTCCAAATAGGCTTTTGATAAAAAAACTTTCCTGCCATGTTACGAATATTACCGACAAAATTGGGAGACTGGAGAAACCCAAAGTGAAATCTACATTCCGGTCAATTGTGACCACCAGAGTCTGAGTCGTTAAGGACCCCAGAGGACCTTTAACAACATCTGGGGTTGATCAGATCTTGTATTGTGTGTAGATATGTCAGAAGTAGCCGAACATGCATTTGGAAAAGGTACCCATGTTATCACATTTGAAGAGATCCAAGGCCTCGAGGGAACACTGAGTTACTATTCAATAGAGGTAACAGAAATTCAGAAGCACATAAAAGAGATTCAACGAAAGGGGGGTCAACTCAGTGAATCCTACACTTTATGAATTCTGGGTGCCTTCAAAGAACTATCTTGCTTGGATTTACTGGATGGTGTCGATACATTCAATTGTGCTGCTGATGCAGTGGTGCTGTTGAAGGGTGAGCCTAAAAAGCAAAATTTCTGTTGCGTCTGAAATTATTTCGGGAAGAAAAAACTCTTATCAGGTGAAGTTTCGTAAGAACTAGGATTATTAGTACCTTAGTTGGCCTAGTTGAAGCATATTACCAACCTCCGATGGCCAGAAACGCTCTGTGTCCGTCTCTTATTGTACTTCTATTTGAAGTGGAGAAAATACTTACTGAACTCGACAACACTCATCTATACTTTGCACTATTTTTCTGAATTTTGAAATGTGTCCATAGCTGTTTTTAATAGTTATTCGGACTTCCTTTAGAAATGAGTTCATCCTCTACATTCAGGAGTGGAACCTTTCATGCAATTATTTTTAAACATTTCTGGCACGCCCCCAAACGTGTTGGAGCTCAGACTGCATCTGATCACATAATGATGTAAGTGTTTTCACTGTGGTTAAGATTGGCTGTTTTTATTTTTATTTACCTTGATACCAATTATCTTACTTATATTTGAAGGATCATGTGCCTTGTCAGCCTACAGCACACTACCCATTTGTTCAATAATTTGTATTGAACAAACACTCGCAACTTAAAGGAAGGTATACAAGTCACTCATTGAGTCCCAAAGATAAAGAGTCGAAGATAAAGTTTTGGCCAAAATATCTAACTCGTTAATACACTCACGAGTATCGAATGTTTTGAATGAACGATTACTGAAAAGCATGAATGAAAATTTTGCACTTATTACTAAAAAGCACAGGAAAAAAGTAGCGAAATACCTTGAGGTGTGCCAAATGATATTGGAGAAGCACTTTGGCGTTTGATATACTTTCCACTGTCCCAACAAATACAAAAGGTACCTGCCCTTCTTCACGTGGAATTGTCGGTTGTGGTTCATTATCACCTTCAATCTTCACCCGGACCTGAAAAGGAATAAGAACCATCAAAAGACATAACGTTTTAAGGATATGAACTTACCACCCCACTTTTATCAACGATTTCTTGTATAATTCTTCCATTTTTACCAATAACTTTCCCAACTAACCCTCTCGGAACTTGAAGAGATTCTTCGCTATATTCTAACATTGACCTTGCTTTCCGAACAGCTTCATTAGTTTCTCCATAAATTTTAAAAGTACAAGAGTTTTCTTCTAATTCAATGTTTGTTATTCCTTCAACTTTTCTAGCTTGCTGAATATTTGCACCGTGTGCACCAATTGCTAAACCCATTAAATCTTCTCTCACAATGAACTCGTCAGAAAATCTAAAACAAATAGCCGGGTTATATCTACAACAATGAATTATATAATACATTAACTGAAGTTCTGTTAATTTTTGTACAGGGTCATATTTTAGATAAAGAAAAAAACGTATTCCAGTGAATTATACAGTGTACAGAGTACTAATGAAATTGCCCCAAGTATGTGTGATGTGTGTGTGGTATGCCTGCGTGCGGTGCGTGCGTGCGCGTGTGTGTGTGTAGTGTCTTTCTCTGTGAGTGTGTCTTTAAGAGCTACAATGTAATGATCTGCCTACCAGGAAGTGTGCCATGGTGAGGTGAATTAGGTCCTTTTGTTTAGAGGACATAAGTAACAATGATCTCAAATTCAAAATCGCTTTTATCTGCACAATTACCGTATAAAATTCTCTTAAAGTCAATTTCGCATTATTAAACAATATGAATGAATGTCCACTGAATACTTTCAGTAATGTATTTTTTTGTTACTTCTACATTATTTATTCTCAAATTTCGCTTGATTAACTTAACTCTTTGATAGCCTCCACATATTCATCTAGGTTTTCCTCTTTCAGAAAAAATATCTTCGCAAACAATCTGTGCTCAAATCAGTTACAAGCTCATTATGAATGATTCTTATAAAAAGACAAACGAACAAATATTATATTTGGAAATGCCTGAAATTATCCACATCTGGCAAGACAAGTGGATAAATAGCACCCCACCAGAGGCGTACGAACAGTAATTGCTACATGTAGTGAAAATTGTGAAATAACTGTTTTTTTGCCAGGTGAACATTGACGAACTGTAGTTATCTTGGTGTTTGATAATTCTTAATTATCAAGCCAAATCTAAGATTACAATGAATGTTTGTTACAGACTGGCAGTGAAGCCATGTCCTCTCTGCTCCCTCTAAATTATCTGTTTAAGTAGTTTGAAGTGCTTGAAAAATTTTGAAATTTATACCAGTCTCTGTCGACAAAAAGAGGCTCTGAAATTATGTAACGGTGAGTCTGAACATAATTTTGTATAGCAGATAAGTCGCTAATCGATAAAGTAGCAAGCAAGATAATAAACTCGTTCTGCGTGAAAAACGAGCGAAACAAGCTAATCCTTATCTTCACATTAATAAATTACAGAGGGAAGACATTGAAACAAATATATTTCATTATACCAGGGCTATTGATGATTTAAGAATGAATGAAAATCAAATTTTAAAATTACTTAAGTCGGTTGAACTTAGAAATAGGAAAGTTGTACAGGAAGAAAACGAAAGGTAATCAAGAGACATAAAGGAATACATAAAAAAAATTCTTCTGAATTTGAAAAGGAACTGGAAAAGAAAGGTAGAGAATTTCAAACAAAATACGATTTAAAATCAAGTACGATAAATGAGAGAGAGAAGTGAGAAAAAATGATATAATAATCTTTGGACTGGAAAGTTCAGCAGATAATTTTCCGGCAATTGCCACAGAAAAGACAACTAATTTGTTAGAAACACGACTTACTGTTGGTGATTCAAATAACGTTTTTAGGGTTGGAAAAGAGGGCAACAAAAAAACAATCATTGTCAAATTATCCTCATATCTGAAAAAAATAAAAATACTCAGAAGTTGTAAAACACTTCGTGGAACTAATATCAGTATATCTGAAACCTATAAGCCTGGAGAACAACAGGAAAACAAAATATTACATAAACATCTGAAATTAGCATGAGAAAAGAAACTGACCGCCTACATTAAATACAGAAACACTATTATTATAGATGATCAAGATGTTATTGGAGTAGAGAAACATCGGGTCCAAGTGGAGCGAAATTTTCCCAAGAAACTGAATTAGTTAATAAAATAAGACAATCAGCACGAATAAATAGTAATAAAACTTTAGCTACAATAGTCCCAAAGTGAATTTGAAAAAACCTACAAATTAGAAATTTACATTGTAATTTACTTTTAAATTCTTAGTTCTTTTATTAAGTTATTTTAAACGTATCATCCATATTTTGAATTGTGAATGTTTTCAGGTCCATGTTTCTGCTTTATTTTTATGTCTTCACTGTGAACAGATTAAATAGTACGGGTGCTTAGAACAAGATTTTGGTGTTTATCAAAATGGAATGTTGTGCATGCAAACTATCAATTGGTGACCAAATCATACAATGTGATATCTGTCATGGATAATGTTGCGGACTTACTGCCAGCGAACTCAAAATCATGGACCTAAAAGGCAAGCGAACGCTTAAGTTCTACTGTGAATACTGCCAAAATGGAGTTAAGCTTATTCCTACGCTATTGGTGAAAATTGATAATCTAGAGGCACAAATTAAGAAATGCAGAACTTCTACGACACATAGTGTAAATGGGCCTGGAAATGTTCCTATGGATAATAGAGCGAAATTGATATATGAAATGATGGAAAGGCAATCATGTGCTTATAATTTAGTTATATTCAATGTTGAGGAATCGAAAATGAAAACACAAGATGAAAGAGTAGCTGAAGACTCAGCTACTCAGAGCTTGTCAAAAATGTTCTTAGTGTATTTGATATACAAATATATAATAATGATGATGTGGTTCTGCAGGTTTTTTCGGGTTTTCCTGCAGCTGAAAAAGCAAATGCGCCACTGGACTCAATGAAGTCGCCCCGGTGCGCCAATTAATTTTTATTGTTATTTTTATCGTTGTTTTAATAAAATTTTCTATTTAAAAGTATTCAGATTAGGACAATTAAGAATAGATCCAATTAAGAATAGACCCATTAAGTTGTTTTAAAATCAGCTGATGATGCAAAATATATATTAAAAAATAAAACAAAAATTGTTGTATGACCAGACAAAAGCACAAAATGATTACTTTAAATTCATTAAAGCTGAGCTACAGGAATTAATTGAAAATGGCGATAATAATAAAACAATTAAATTTGTAAATAATAAACCAACTATAGTTGATGAACAATCGCAAAAAAACTAATAGTTGAAAAACCTAATATACCTTTCAATTCAGACATAATTTTATTATTATTATTTCCATAATTGAAAATATTTTATTAAAACAACGATAAAAATAAAACAAAAACAACAATAAAAATTAATTGGCGCTCCGGGGCGACTTCATTGATTCCAGTTGATGAGAATGGTACACATGGTTTGAGTTGCAGGAGAAGTGCAGGGCGTACATCTCGACATCACCAAGTGAACGACATATTGAAACGAGCTATGTTGTCAGCGGACGTTCCTGCAATTCTGGAACCCTTAGGTACCTGCCGAGATGATGGTAAACGACCAGATGGTATGTCTCTCATACCATGGAAATACGGTAAACCTGTGGTATGGGACTTTACTTGCGTCGACACGGTCGCGGCTTCNTTATTGGAGCCTCTGGAGACACCCTACATTTTGTTTTATAAGAGAGAGGACATTGTTAGATCAAGATTTTCAGATGATGTGGTGCTGCAGGTTTTTCCGGGTTTTCCGACATAATTTACTTAAACTCTCAAAGTATAATCAAAAATAGAGATGAAATCCAAGAAAGTGTAAGTTTCTATAAACCAAAATTAATACTACTCAGTGAAACAAGGAAAACAAACTATATTGAAGATAGTGAAATGAAAATTGAAAATTATAATCATGCAACTCAACAAGTAGACATACGGGAGTATTATAATTTATGTAAAATACAGTTTTGCTTTCCCACATTATAAAACATTCAAACTAGAACGTGTCCGAAACTCTTTAATTCTGAACTAATAAAATACTTAGAACAACAAGAGCAAAATGATATTGATATTATCACAGGAGATTTTAATATACATTTTTTGGATGACAATGATTACGTCGAGGAATACAAAATTATAATAAGTAATGTCGAGTATTATTCTTTTATAAATGATTATAATAGATTGCCAAGCCATAGTTGTTCGGACTATTTCTTTGTAAGACACAAAATTAAGAGAATACAGAAAAAATTTAAATATTTTATAATTTGATATAATATAACGGACCGCTATCCCATTGTTCCTTCAATAAAATCTCTACGCTCAACTATTATATGTCGAAGTGATATCTATAAAACATACATTGACTATCATCAGCTCAAATTAGATTTGAGATCACGAAGTTGGAACGATATGTACTCTCAAAATCATGTATTCATTGAAAAATTGAAATATTACAAACAAAAAACACACACTCAAAATAAAAAGAAAAAAATGTACACAAGAAAAATTGGCTTATCCCGGCAAAACTTAAATCTATAAATGTGAAACATGAATTGTATCAAATGTCATTAAAAGAACAAAATCGTTAATGTAATTACGAAAAAATTCCATTCACAACAAATACAAAAAAGTACAAATAACTCCAAAGCTATTTGGCAGTTTGTTGAGAACGTGTGTGGAGAAAATGAACAAAAAAAGTTATTGACAAAATGAAATTAGATGATGGGTCTATCATCACAGACAAAATGAAGATCGCCGATAATTTCATTAAGCATTATAGCGAATTGGGGAAAAATTAAGGAAACAATATACCAAATTTACAAAATCATATGACATGTGACTCCAGGGTCACAAAACCCTTTTACGAAAGTTGAATGATTATGGTATCCGTGGGATGTCCAGTTATTTATCAGATCGTGAACAAAGTATTGAAATTGATGGTGTCCTAAGTGTTCCCAGAACTGTAACCTATGGTATCCCTCAAGGCCACTTCTTTTCGCTATATATATATGAATAGTCTGGACATCAGACAACTTTTCTGCATGAAAATATTATTACTCTTTGAAAATAAAAAAATTATATTACAAGTTTATGAACATGCTCATAATACACGAAAGAATGATTCTATATTTTTACCCCGATGTGATAAAACAATTGGACAACGAAGTGTCAATTACCTGGCATCAAGAATATATAAGCAAATACCTCGTGAGATTCAGAATATTGAAAAATTTAGAAAATTCAAAAGTTCTTCAACTGAGTGGATTCTCAAGACAGGACGTAATACATATTTTTAGTTTGATTTGAAAGGG